GTTTTATTACACAATAAACCCAATACAATAAATTCGAATTTACCAGTTACTAATATAAGTAAAAATTGCTTAAATCCCTCTCCAAATATCCTAATATAACAATATATCACAGAAAAAAAACAAGAAATTTACTATCAGATTATGCAATAATATTTATGGAATTTCGAGCTATGAGAGATTTATTATAATGTAAATCAAATAATTTTTTGTGCGATGCTTACATGGTATGCTAATATATATCGAAAAACATCTGTAGCTAAAATCTTTCACCCAATACCCCAATACATTAATCTTTAATTAGACTAAGCTAGATAAAAATATTAGTGGTTTGTTAATTATTGTCTAAGAATATTGAACCCCCATACCAGACTGAAACAACTAGAAACCGCCCGACGTTTTCGACTACTGCAGCACTTACTAGACAAACGATCTAAGCTTTCAATCAATTATAAACGACTCGTATATATGACAATAATAAGACCTATTTGAACTTACGGAATTGAGCTTTGGGGCTCCACTAAACCATCGAATTCCTCTCGTATCCAATCCTTACAATCCAAGATCCTTCGTAAAATCCTCAACGCTCCTTACTTTGTCACAAATAAAATCATCCATAAAGACCTTAATGTTCCATATGTTTCTGATTTGGCCCAATCCAGATACCTATCCTTCCATAACAAACTGCAGAACCATCCAAACCCTCTTGTTTCAAACATTGCTTCCTCCTCTATCCCTGATAACCCTCCGAGGCGTCTGAAAAGAAGATGGCCTCGGAATCTTCTAATATACAACTTTAATTTGAGTTTTACCAATGGGTAGTTTCTCTTCATGTTGTACATGTCATGTAACCAATTTCACATTTACTTATTGTATTTTATATGTAATACAGTTGTAAATTCCATTAAAATAATAAAAATAAAGAAATTAAAAAAAAGAATATTGAAACAGGTTGAAGATTTCAGGAGCCGCATCACATGTTCAAAACTCTTAAATTTACCTTCTCTGTGTTTACACAACACACAATACCATTCCAGGAACTTTCTGAACATTGATGCATGAAATAGAAGAGCTGTAATGTATTGTGGAAGATACCCAACTATTATTCACACAGTTTCATTATTCATAGACACAAACAACCCACACTAAACACAATAATTTGTCAGTGCTTACGATCTAATTGTTTCAAAACGCTAACTGGAGAAAAGTTAAAAATTTCAGCTATGAAACTCAAAAATCGATGGAGCCGTTCGCTTAAAAAATCATTACATACCTGTTAGCAGAATGATTAAACTCAATTTAAACCCAATCACGGGATCTCACAGAATAAGTTTGACTCATCATCTTAAAAATCGTTCCAGCCGTTCGCTCAAAAAAATCGTTACATGCATTTTAGAAAATTGTTTAGACACTTTATTCAATTATGGGTCAGTGTTTTTACCTTACTTTGTTTCAAAATAATCAGTGAACATTACCGAATAATTTGAGCCATCAAATTTGAAAACTGATCCAGCCGTACGCTTAAAAAAATCGTTACATTTACAGCAGTTAGCGGTTAATCCAAGCACATAACTCTGTTGTCGTTTCGCTTATTCGGGTAATAAAATCATCAATTGATGATACAATACACGTGCTCCAATTGAACAAAATATTGGGAGGTTACAGCGTAAGCAACAGGTGCGAATAATAAAGTGCTTATTTCAATTTTAGCTCAACTGTCAAACAACAATACGATTGAAAAAATGTCTAAATCAACGTTCATACATTCAATGAACCGTTATCTTTTCAAGTATGTTTTTAAAAAAGTACTCATGTGTTATTCATTCATATGAGTCAACGGGAATGCAAACAACAGTATAATAATGAAGCAGGAACTAAATCGTGAAAGAGAAATAAAAAACTAATATAATTTTTTATCTTTTTAAATCGATATTTAATCACCTGTAAATTATACCAGGTTATCAGAGATTGAGTGGCCTGACAATGTTTACTTTTTTTTCTGTTTGCTTTATAGATCTCGTCGATCTTCAGCTGCCTGGACCAGCCTTCTCCACCTCTTTCCTATCTCCGGCTATTCTTTTCTATCTGTATGCAGCTCTGCAGCAACATTGTTGATTTGTTTTTTACACTCACATGGTCGTTTGCCATCTATTGAGGCATTCATTCCTATACACAGAAATTTCTTCATGGATTGTTTCGAGCTATATATCCCGGCTCATATTTACCTCATAGCAATATAAGATACTGAGAACGTGAGTCCCTGAGTGCCCGGTTCTGAACTTGTGTATTCGATTCCTATATGGGTAGGTTAATATTAATTTCTTGTCGGTCCCGAGAAATGAATCTTGACACTTCCACTCTGAAAAGTGCGCGGCAGCAACTTCAAGGTAGCTGTCAGGTTTTAGAAAAAAGGGCCACAACCCACACTTGTCGGACTAACTCTAGTACTATTGATGAACTAGCTTCTGTAAACAGTTCTTCTCTTAAGCGTTAGTACTCTGACCCTTAAACCGCTCGCTGAATTTTCCACAATGTTTAACCAAAGACATTTTATTATTGCTCACCTCTCTCATTTTGACTTTCTGGCTATTCATTAATATCGTATTAGATCGGTCTATGCGTGGCTAAACTAATGCCTGACTAAGCTACACCAGCATAGATACAATCACAACGTTACAAGATTAAAAATATATGTTTTTGAACAATTTTAAATACTAAATTAAGCGAAATGTATAAAAAGAGCACTAGAGCACATTAGCGCTTGTTTTGTTCGAATTCCAAAACAATATCTAAAAAAAAAAAACACATAGATGTTGATATTCAATTAGAAAAAGTCAGCTATTTCTATTTTTAACCGTAAAATTGGCGCTGTGAGAACAAACAAAATTCTAGAACATATGTATACATACCGACAAATAACTTAATGTGGAGAATTTACCATTTAGAGATAAAACTAAACATAACGATGATATAGTTAAAATTTGGTGAAAATTGGTTCAATAGTTTACATGGTTAATGGTTAAAGACGAAAAACGAGCTGTACTTTTATATATAGACAAACACTATACTTAGTTACTTGTAATATATACTTTGTTTATTTCGTTGAAATGTTTTTTTTGTTCCTGTTTTACTTTGTCTTTCTTCTAGCATCGTACTGGATGTTTCTGTGTGGCGACCAACATTTTGCATTTTTAGAGGTATCTTCAACAGCTAAATGCAGTTCCAACAACAACGTCAATTTAAAGGGCCCCTCCCATGAAATTTTATTACAAATTTAATTATGCACTAACTTAAAATTAGTGAATGTAAAATTAAAGAAATAGTAGTTGATATAAAATGGCATTACTATAGCTTGTTCCTTGTTTTTTGCTTCCCTGATTTGAAATTAAAACCCTATAAAAATATGGTTCCCTCCGAAAATATAACCCTGTCGAAAATTGCCCCATTCAAAGTTTTGATGACGCAACTTGCGCAAAACTCCCATCCTCCCTTTGGTCATCCCTGATAACTGAACTCTCTAAAAACGTAGACGGTTGAATATAATAGTGTATAAAAAAAAAAAATGACCGTTTTATCAAATTCAAGATTTTAAAGAACTGTAAATATTTTAATCTTATTTAATACTTACCAATACTTAATAATTCCCTTAGAGCATTCTCTAGGCTTATTTAATCCCATTCGATTTTTTCAAAAAAAGTCTCAGTTTAGTTATTTGTTTCAAAGAAAAATGCCCTACATGACAATGCCCTACGAAATTCTAGTAAGTTAAATACATTACTAGAACAAAAATCAAGCCGGGGAAGCAGCTTGTGAAATTATGAAATATGAAGGGGATGGTATCCTTGACAAGCCCACTGCGGGGCGTTAGTATGAAAAATTTAGCAGTGGAGATACGACGCTGGAAAGGAAGAAGGGCTCCGGGCGACCATTAATCGATATGGATGAGGTTCTGTAGAAAGCTGTTGAGGTAAATCTCCTCGAGTACTCGCGAACTTGCCAGAGAGTGTGGTGTACCGAAAGATTCTGTTAGTCGCCATCTACTCTCCATGGGTAAGGTGAAAAAGAGCAGTAGACTGGTTCCACACGAACTTACTCCACGGCAATGAAACAAGAGATTAAAAATTGTATTGAAAAATCCTTCTGATATGAGACTCCTGCCTCATCCACCATATGGTCAAAACCTCGTACCATCGGATTAATACTTATTCAGCTCTATGGTCTATTTTCTTAAAGGGAAAAAAGTTGATAATTTTGCGGAAGTTTAAATTGCGGTCCAAGAGTTCTTTGACAGCCATCCTAAAGAATGGCTCACGCTGTATCAGCGTGGAATCGATCAATTGGCTCGCAGATGGGTAATGACGGTAGATAACGATGGACTATATTTTAAGTATTAATTGTATTCTATATCAAAGAAATAATAATACAAATATTTGTTTAAAAACGGTAATTTATTTTTTTAATTTTCATTATAACTTCCAAATTAATATTGAATATTTAACAGCTGACCGTTGCATTATAAAGGAAGGAGATGGTCCGGGGTGGCGGTCATAAAAAGGCTAAATATTGGTAAAACTATTTTTATTAAAAGCCGACGTTTCGACCCGACTTTGCAGGTCATCTTCAGGGAGGTGTGTTCAGCTAGGAATATCACTTAAAACTTATTATGACCGCCACCCCGGACCTTCTACTTCCTTCCTTATTAATAATTTTATCTCGAATTGTACTATCTAGAAACCTTTTCGGGACAACATTCATCATTATAAAAAACGTATAAATCAGTGAAGTATAGGTAAATCAAGTGTTTTTTTTAGGACATTTGAATATATTTTTTTGTTATACGTGTGAGCGAGGGGGAAGGGAGAGGAGGGTGGCAGAGGGAGGCTTGACATTTAGGTATATTCGCGGTACAAAACTTCAGAGCATACGTCACTCATGCTTAAAACATATGCCAGAGTGAAGCAGCGTGACTTCATCGTCCTGGAACCCCATAATTACTTGGCAGGATGCACGTGCCGGATCCATGCACTCACCGGAGAGCTTCCAAGACATTACGTCGTGGATGGCCTAGCCGTCTAGCCGCCCTAGATACAACTTCTCTGCAATCGATTTCAACACGACTCCAGATCTGTCCTAATTCTATCATCATATTAAAACATACTTTATGATAAACAAGGCAGAACATTGAAACCTATTTAATATATGTTGTGAAATTATGAAAAAAAAAAAATATATGTATATATATCAAACACACATATCTAAATATGAAAACATATGGAAGACATGTAGCATTCACAATCTCAATAATAGGTAGCAGCACTAACGATAGGCTCCAAGCCACATACCACGATCCAGCTACTTCTTTTAGCTTTGATTTAATTAACCTGCTAGTGTTAAAATACAGAGCCAAATTACAGTAGTTTAATTAATCTTAAACATTATTATATTAAATAATTAATATAATTAATAATCACTAACGAAAACACCGGGAACGCAGCGATAAGGAATGTCTGATTGCATCAACTAGAGCAACCATTGTGCAGTTGCAATGCAGCAAAAATATTTAACTTCTGAAGTAAGAAAGAAAGAAAAGTATATTTTATTCTAGGTCAATTAGCCTCCTAAGAATAACTACAAGGAACAATGAAATGACAATTGGCTGACATTAGAAACAATTAATAATAAATTAAATTACAAAGTTATCTAAGTCTAAAATTAAAATGATGAAAAAAAGAAAAGGCACTAGTAGCCATATGATATTATAGATAAATACATATGTGCGAGTTCACCTATTTGTACACATAAACAATGTAGAAAATATATAATTATCATCATGATATATAATTAATGTAAGATAACATTAAATGCGCCTGACAGCTCTGAAAAACGTAAACATCTATTTTTACATATATTCGGAAGATTTATTGATTGAGGAGATGGAAAAATCAATAATGATTAGATGAGATCAAGGATGAGGATTTTTTATGGAGTTTGGTAGGCAATTCCAAAACAAGGTAGCACGTATGACAAAGGATTTTTTAAAGGAAACAGTTCTATGAGAAAGAATAAATAGGTTTGAGGGCTGGGATCTCATATTGAACAAATGGACAGAGGAACAAGAAGTGAAAAAATCGAGAAGATAAGAGGTATTTTGGTTGAAAAGGTTCGAAATAGGAATACTCGTACACCTGGAAAATATTGCCGTCGGAAGACTTGATGGAGGCTTGACAACTAGAGATGTGGAAGTGCCTGGGGCTCCAAGGATGAATCTAAGGAAACAATTCATTAGTCCCTTCAATACATAAAAAAATAAACCAAAATAAAAATAATTAAGATACGAAACGTTGCAATTTTAGTACCTTATTTTTAAAGTTTGAACTGTATACAATCTAAAGCCTTTTAAATGTACAAGTTAGCTGGTAAATGTGGCTGTGGTATCAGAATCTTTAAACGCACTTAAAGCCAATTTAAATATGTATCTAGCACATTTTCTGTGGTCATGGCCATTTAGGTATCACTGATGGATGATAGGAATGAAATGGATGATAGAGCAGAAAATGAAGCTCTTACTCTTCCAGGCAGAAGAAAAGCTTTCTTAACTGCGTCAGAATTGCCACGACCACTAAAAGAGGCCATAAACCAAAATTGGTAGACCCTATGGGACAACACCCATCCAAACTGATATAGACTGAAGGTTATAAAGAGTGAAGTAAAACCATTTAACAGTTCTAGTAGCAGTAAGCGCAGAGAGGAAGTCGCCTTTACGTGACTAGAAATAGGACATCCGTAAGGTCTTTACGCACCTTCACTTAATTACTAAAGGGTGAGTAAGAAATTGAGAGTGGCCTATATCTTTGAGAGTTATGATTTTTACATCAGAATGTCAAATGAAAGAGTGAGACCAGCAAATCCATCAACTGCATAGGGATATGAGGAAACAATCTTAATTAAAGTAATATATTTTCTCTCCGAAGAAGGATTTTTAAACATATTTTGTTATGCACAACAAGCAGATATAGTTATAAATAAAAATATATATGAACTTAATTAATGGCAATTGATAACCAATACGTTTTACGCCTTGACTTCATAACAACTAACCGACCTTTTAAATGAGCATCCGCAAAATTATCAGGGGTATATAAAATGCTAAGCTCGAAACACAGTATCTTTCCTATTACCTTTCGGATTTAGATGATTATTCTGTTTTCTTCAGTAGAAAGTTATTTCGCAATGGTTTAATAGAAATTTTCAAATACAAAAAAAAAAGTATATGGTATCTTTACTTATGCCCAAATAAAATTAATTTTCTTCATATTTTGTTCTTTTTATTTTTCTTTAAAATAAACCTTGAAATTTTTATGAAAATTTCAATGATGTTATCTCAAATTTCAATATTTGGTTATAATGATGGTTTTTTGGTGAGAGGGCGAGGGAGTTATAAAGAGTTAGAAGTCCCAACGGCCACCGGGATTGGAACTGATTTTATTGAACATATTTTTCTATGTTAAACTTCGGTTATCAGTTTGTCGGGCAACGCACGCGTTAGCCCGCTCGGGATTTGGGATAGTGGAATGTTTCCATAATAGAAGAAAGTGGTTTGAGTAATGTAACAGATTATGAGTACTATAGTAGACATATATGAGGATACAGACAGTTTTGAATGAAAGTTGTCAAATGATCTGAGAGGTAAGAAGATCGGGAGTTAGTTGTTGTAAATACAATTTGACTACGGACGAACTGCTTTAGGGGGTAAGGAGAGTGGAATTAGTGATGTAAGGAATTCCTTTACTGTAATTTTGTGATTGGGTGGAATAAGATTCCGGATGCGGGATAAAAGTATTGAAGAGATGTCTACCGAAGAGATGTCTTTTTCTTCACCAGATGCTGCCCAGATCATGTCACTAGAGGGGATGGGAAAATTACTTTTTTTTATTTATTTGTTTTTTTTTAGTCCCTCCCTTCTTCGGTATTAATGTCATAGTTAAAAATTGATGCTAATAAAACCTACAAAAATGTAGTTTATGAAAATTATCTTCTTAGGAATAAATATTTCTTTGTAAAAGTAGCTTTGGGGAAGAAAGAAAAAGGTGGTTTTTGAATTTTGTCAGGCAGTATGACCCCACCTGACTTTGGCATACAATGTTTTTTGGCATCTGGGATTGTATAGTTATGCTAACTTGAAAAAAAAAAATATTATTTTCAAATAATGCTATATTTACCTACTTGTAAAATCCGTTTCAATTACAATGGTATATGGTATATAGGTGGAGAACCTGCAGCATCCAAACGTTTTTGAGTGATATTTATTAATCTAGCGCTAGAATTAATTAGGTTGATGAAAGTTAATAGAATTGAGTTATATCGATGTGTGTAGTTAGTAGTTAGTAAGTAAAACGCAAAGTAACAACGTAAAATAGCAACAGTAAATTATAAAAAAATTTTGCCGCCTCTAATAATACAAAGGTTTTATATAGTATAAGACATAGGTATGGAACCAGTGACCTCTGGGCCGCATGTGGCCTCCCAGAGCTAGCTGCGGTCATAGATGCCGCCTGCGGCCTTCAAATGTTTTTTCTCCATATTGATTAATCTAGCGCAGGAATTAGTTAATATTTCATTATCAAGGTTACGAAAATTTGAAAATTAATAGAATTAAGTAGGATACGGGTGTGTGTATTTAGTGATAAATAAAAATAGCAACAGTAAAATATAAAACCTTATTGCCAGCTCTAATGATAAAAAGGTTTCCGATCTATAATAAATTCAGCACAATGAACATTATGAAGTCATATAATTAATAATTTTCTTCAAATAGTTCGGCTCTTGAATTACGCCACGTCGTGCCACGCGCGCCGTGGTATTGGCACTCCTGCTCTACGTAGTTCTTCGACTTCGACCGATCGATTTCCAAAGAAGCTGAGGTTTGAAAACAAATTAAAAGAGGAGAGGAACGGCGGAAGTGAGATAAGAGCAATAAGCGATATTGGAAGAGGAACCATCAGTCAGGCTAAGAGATGGACGATCAGCTGACAGGGGAGTGCCGTCCATCATCCCCGCTGCCACCTACATCATCTCCTGATCTAATTGTCAGCTGGGCTGCCAACTCCCGTCAGCTGATCGATACAGATTTATATCCTAATATTTACAACCTCGTACAGCAGGACCAAGTAAAACAATTAACAAATGGATAATTATGATAATTTGACGCGGTCAAGATAGTAATAGAAATAAGAGGAAATATATGGCGAGAAAAATTTAAATATAATGGTAAAATTCATAAGCTTTCTTCAGAGTTGACAAAAAAATTATAACAATCCCATACGAAGATACAAAAACGAACGATAACATAGGAAAAATTAAATCACTAAACAAGTAAAATAATAATGAACTTATTTATTAAAACATTTTTACAAAAATTTGATATATATTGTAAAGCGATCTTCTTAAGTGAAACTTCACTGCGAGACTGATATGAATGACTCCCAGGCGAATCAGACTATACGTAAAGTTCTAAAGTTGCAGATCCCTACTCTAGAGGCGTTTAAGTCTCCGTGTCGGACTCTAAAGTATTGTGTGTAAGTTAGTAATGTCTATACAAGTGGATTAATGTTCAGCAAGTGAGTCATGAAAACTTTTATGTTTCTTAATTAAGTAAGTTACATGTGGTATTTGCAGCTAGTGTTGTCCAAAATCAGTCTTGGTCTTGTAAAGTGCAGGCCGCCAAACTGCTAAGGCCGCCTAAGACCAAGACCAGGACTGGTAAAAAAATCGATTTTTTAAATAAAACTTAAGGCAAAATAGTTACTAATACTTGACAATCTTATTTACTATATATTAATAATTGGTATAACCAATATACTTTTGCATTTAACTCCTCTAATTTTCCATTCGGGCTTAGTTAGGTTTCTCCTATCTATAAAAATAGTAATCTCTGTATAGCAACAAGGTAATTAGTAGCCGCAAGACTGTTGCGAGATTCTTGCGCAAGACCAAGACCATGACCAAGTCTGAATGTTTATCCAAAGAACTTGACGGTTATCCAAGGAGGTGACGTAGTCAATTTTCTAGACTCTCAATTACTAGGTTTATCACCAAAAAACATGGAGGACCAATAGTCGGGAAACTTATAATGTTTTTTATCATCTCATAAACAACACAATATGAATATTTAACTACTATGAGAAATCTCATCATTAAGTGCGAAAATAAAAATTGGGCAGTTTCTCAGGATGGCTTTTAGACAATACGGCACTTTATTATCTAAAAAATTGAATGGAATTTCTTCATGAACGGCATGCTTGAGAAATAGTTTATATCATTCTGTATCAGAATTGACTAAATCACCTCCTTGGACAACAGTCGAGTTCTGCAACAAACACCAAGTCAACCAAATACTGAATCAAAGATCTTCGATTGTTACAGTAATACAAGATTGTTTTTATATACAAACAAAAATCAAACAAATATATTTAATTACGTTTGGTTTAACAATTTTTGCTTCATTTAACGAAGATATCTTCTATACTTGACACTTGTGTGTTAAATAATTTGCCACAAAGCTAGAGGAAAGTTGAGAACCATCGTAAATTTACATTTCATTTAATTTTATTTCCGATAAACATTTCATATAATTTTATTATTTTACATATGCATGCACAAATGTATTTATTAAAAATTAATTTTTATTTAACTAGTTTAATCACACTTACACACTATTTAAATCTTCCAATAAAGTTAAAGTTCTAAAGTTCTCCGGTATATCTCTCACTGTGTCAAGAAAATTAGCCACATCATCCCTTGTACAACCGTCAACTTGGTCAAGAAACACTAAGTCCTAACCAAATAAACCGAAGACTCGATTATGGTAATACAAGATTTTTTTTAAATATAAAAAACAAAACAAAAAAATATAATTAATAAGATTTGGTTTAATAACATTTTTCGGATACATGAAAGAAACAAAGAGTGTTAGGTCAAGTCTGACTTGTGGAGTTTGAATACCTTACCAGAGGCATGAGATCAAGGTGAGTGACCTATGGGCCGAAGATGATGTCATGGATGGGCAAGCTTCAGGCGAAGAGAGTGCTTAAGAGTGCGCATATTTGTCAAGAATCATAACAAGAGTCATAATTAAGGAATCAAATTATAAATCTTCAAATTAATAAAATTATGAATTAAAGAGGTTGGTTTTTTGAGTTACCTTTAGGAGCGCAAGGAAATGTCACAAGGAAGCTGTCCCGGCATAACATAACATTATTTACAAGCTATTTCAACGATTCCGAATTACCTCATTGTCTTATGTTCAGAAATCGCCTTGGTTCACGCCAGACGATCAACTAGTAATAGTATTCATGTAAACATTTTATAACAAGTGCAAAATAAAGTTTTTCTTCTTCACATCCAAATTTTCTCATTTGATAACACCATGAATAGGGTATCGTTGGAATTAAATGATGAGTTGAGCGAATCTTATTCCCAGTTTTTCTTTTTTTTTTTTGGTCCAGTTTTTTGGTCTATCAAAAATAAATTAAGTCTATGTAAAGATTTCCAAGGCTAGGCTTCAAAACTTGGACGATCGTAATTCAATTGATCGAGACATCCATTCTATCATTAACCTTTCTAAATTAAATCACTAGTTTTCTAAAAAGAAAACACCCCACATTTTCAAAATAACGAGGTTATAAAGGACAAGCGGCCTAATATTTTTGTAGGCCACATTTTTTCTCAATTTTGTTATCAAATTATCTTACGATCCATGTAGAAAGCAACAGACAAAGTTTGCCCTCCTCCAGATTGAAAACACCCCGATTCCAAGAGTTTTCGTAAATAAAATAGTTGTAGGTTACGATGAGATGAAACTATTTACGTTAAGTTTCAGGCAGATGTTAATAATTCCATAAAAAGGGGTCTGTATTACGATGGTGTACTTAGAATTTAATTATCTTGAATAGTTTTTGAGTAATTCCTTCTCATTCAATCAAAACCATGACTATCTTTATAAAAAAAACACAAAACTGGTCCTAACTCCTTTCCGTTCTGAATCGGCCCATGCATCAAATGAACTTTTTTGTTAGAAATTATGTCCAGAATAATCCTTCAGAGATTGGCCATTAATAACTGAGAAGCACTATACAATTTGCTCGGCCTTCTGAATAGCAACGAAATATACTTGGAAATCACATTATGAAGTTTTCATATTATTTGAAAACCTAATTAAAAGTAAACGGGTTTCCATGGGAGCCAGAGCAGTGTCGCAGAAAAGATCTTTTTTATTTTGTAGGTACACTGTAGTTTCATTAATACTTCATCAAACTCAATGAGTGAACTTTGAACATTGTCATTCTCTTTAATACCGAAAAATAATTATTATTATCATATTACCATTTGTTCAATGATAAATGTGCTTTGCAGTTAATTCGTATGGACCAACTAGTTTAAAAATTTTTAATTTTTCATTTTTTGTTTGCAAAAATAGTCTTCGTAGAAGTTCGAATAATACAGATTGAGATTAGTACATCTATGAAATTCAATAACAATAACCAAGCAATAAAAAAAACAATAACATAAAATTAATATAATTATAGCTCTGTGAAGAAATACTTCAGGATACGTGAGACGGCTACTAATTGGTTTGTCTTATCAGTTAGCTGTTGAGTCATCCATTCTTTAAATATTTTTTACACAATAACAATATACCTCACTGACATTTGCACTTAAAATTCAATAATACATCAATTTTTTTTTAGGTTTGCTGAAATTTGCTGGTTTATTCACTGAGCATATACTTATTTATAATTAATTAAACGAACTATAAAATACTAGATAGCAGATTACTTCACAAGAACCACCTTAAGAGTAGAATCACCATCTATTTTTAGAACCTGTTACGTGAAAACGAGTGTGCGTGGGAACTTGGATTAAGTTCTACACCATGGACTGTATCCCTAACGCTATGGATTTATTTATAGCGATTAGGTCACAACAGATGCTATAGGTAAAAGTTCCTCAGGAGTCAATGGGTAAAGAAATATGCCCTTAATGGAGTATTTGCACCATGACATTGTTGCACCATGAAACTTAAACTTCTGATTTTATAATTTTGTGAAACAAACTAGTTGGCCCGTGTGAATAATTGGCACAGTATATTTGGTCATTATATCATATATATATATTTATATATAAGATATAAGATATATTTATAAGATTGGTCAGCAAACAATCTGAAATATATATCCCTTTTCCGGCTTTAAGGAATGATGGATTTTGACGAATGAGGTATCAATAGAAAGGGAATATCACGTAGAGTGAGAGAATCGTAATTTTGATTCCTAATTTTATACCTTGAGTTAAATAAAAGTGAATGTAAAAGTGAGAGGTTTCAAACCAGGTGCCGTCTCAACAAATCGAGACGTTACAAATGAATTCATAATTTGGGAATAACTCGAAAAGGACGCAATTTTTAGTGCATTTGAAAGCTTACTAAATTCCCTATAAAATGAAAAAAAAAATCATCAAAATCGATAACAGTGGTGTCATAAAATATTTTTCTGCATATTTTCTTCTCCATTTTTTTTTTTTTTTTTTTTTACACTTATTTTCGGTTTACATTACTCATGAGAGCTCAATTACATCAAACTTATATTTCTATAGTATAAGTAAAATGTTGTTTATACATACATGAGAATACATATGAGTATTTGAAAGCTTACAAAATTCCCTACAAAACGAAAAAAAAAAAATCATCGAAATCGAACAATTTGGTGCAGAGGTATAGCCTTCTGAATATTTATTATTTGTAGCACAGCAAAGATTGAGTTGCGTTATTGAGTTATTTATGAAATTGGGAATTTGTCCTTTAACATTATATTCTTTTTAATTAATAACAATATTAATTTTATTTTTATGTATATAAATGTATCTTCCATTAAACATTGTTGGTAATTTTTTTCAATGCGCTTCGATTACAATAGCATTTTCTATTACATCTTTATTATTGTAGTTTATCATTTTAAAAGTACACATTCAATTTTTTTCAACGATAAAGTAACATGGATCCTGCTTGGACTAACTATACAACTCCCTGAGAATTTGAGGCTTTTGTCGTCATCAGATGTATAGAAGCTTTTATTAATTTATGATAATCTAATGAAGGAAAAAGCTAATATTTAAATTATAAGTTTAAGGAAATGCAATGATTAAACCATGGCAGAATATAAATCCTATTCATAAACAGACAACTTACAAACTATATGCAATAAGCCTTTGCGTATCGAATATTATTGAATGGAAGTTGTTCCCTTCATTTATTAAAATCAGATATAATTATTTGGTTTGTACGGAATATTCGCACGGGTCAGCTAGTTGATAATATAATATAGACATAAGTTAATGGAATATATTATGCAATAGAGGAAATAATTTTCTTTTTCTCAGCGGAATTACATTAGTCCATTCATAATAATAAACCAAAAAATGTTTACATTCCTATTGACAGTATCTTTGCTAATAACGGTTCGATATCGATTTTTTATTTATTCTGTACGAAATGTAGTAATCTTTCAAATAATCTATTACTAAATTCCCGATGGAAAGACCATCGTTTCACAGCGGGACGAAAGACGAGTTTTCGTGGACACAGTACTAAAACTTCTAAATAATGTCGGATTAACTTGATATTTAGTACCCTTATCTTTTCAAAGCCATGGAACACGAATATGACGTCGAAAATTTCCACGAAAAAAAAATCCGGTTTCTTTATTTAACCCTGGGAATTTATAAATTTGACAATAAATTAACTTAAAAATTGACAAAAAATCTCTTGAAACGCAAAATTTTAGATACTTATTTTAACTACTGTCTATATTACTGCATTCAAAAGTAAATTCTTTTTTTAATTTTAAAAACACAAAATATTATTATAATATATTTATATGTATGTAAAAACTAAAAAAATGTTGTGTAAAAATGTATCGTTTATCAATTATAAATATTCATTTTACAATAGTTCTTATTGAATAATAAACATTTTATTTTTTATTTTTTACAATAAAATTTTTAACCCTAATTTAAACACCATCGATACTACTCTTAACATTTTCTAATGAAAACAATTCATATTTTTTTTCATTAATTTTAAATATTATATGAATAATAATAATTGATACAAATCAAGTCACAGATTCAACCAAATACTCTAAGATTCAATTTATCCTTATGAAATTCAGTAATATTAGAGGAAGGAGTGAATAAAAGTAGTTTTTCTCTAGAGCTTGTCTTATATGGGTGCCCATTGACCCCACTTTTTATTTAATTTTAAACATTAGTTCATTTAACGGTGTTGTGTTTGTTTATTTATTTAGATTAGAGCGAAAATAAATTATGTTTATATACAGTTAAAAGAATAATATAAATATTTATTGAATATTTAATAGTTGACCGTTGCATCATAAAGGAAGGAGATGGTCCGGGGTGGCGGTCATAAATAGGCTAAATAGTGGTAAAACTATTTTATTAAAAGCCAACGTTTCGACCCGACTTTGCAGGTCTTCTTCAGGGAGGTGTGTTCAGTTTTAAGTGAAACTCCTAGCTGAACACACCTCCCTGAAGAAGACCTGCAAAGTCGGGTCGAAACGTTGGCTTTTAATAAAATAGTTTTACCACTATTTAGCCTATTTATGACCGCCACCCCGGACCATCTCCTCCCTTTATAAATATTTATTTCTTATCTAGGTAGACAAATTAAAAAATTTAAAACAATGAAAACTAAGATTTAATATTTAATGTAATTTTTTTTTACTAGTTTGGTTTGTGGTTTTTTTCCGTAACAAATAACAACAAAATGTTATTTTCGTAATGTTTAATACAATTGCTAAAATTAAATTTTAGTACAGTTATAGGAGAAATTAATACGTACTTATAAATTGTTTGTAGATTCACACTTACAAGAATAATTTTAAATATTTTTAACTACTTTTAGGCGGATCATGGCGGTTAAAATTAATACGACTTCTCTATAACAATGACCCATAAAAAGAAATCAATTTTCCGGAAAATGTTGAAGTTTTTTTAAATCACAGTCTTTGTATTAATT